TATGTTTGGTTAGCTGATCTCTGCATAACCGATAGGGGTAAGTCTTCTGGCATTTTCTAGCTGATCCCTGCATAACCGATAGGGGCCGACCTGAGTTCTCGCGGGCTGTACGTCGAACCATAGGTTTAGTCAGCCGCTCATATATATATATATATATATATGTATATATAATTTTATTATTATAAATATTTTTTACATGCATGTTTGTGCGAGAGCTCATCAATCTCGCCTTTTGCATTTGTTCTTGCTGGGCCCTGGTACTGTAAAGCATCTTTCGCTGTACAGTCGGATGCATAATTCCACACGTGCATAGTGAGGCAGTGAGGACCCCGTAGCAGGGCAGGGCTGCAAAATCGTCTGTGCAGGCGCCGTTTTTCCAGCGGCAAGAAGTCGGCCGACAGTGTGGGATGCACGCGCTCAACAATATCCTTGGAGGTAATGTTGTCACGCCAACAGACATGATGGAAGGTGCCAAAGCTTATTTGTCAGAGCAGGGAGATGGTACAGGCGACACGCTCCAGGATCACGTTGCGCCGGATGGAAACTACTCCGAAGCAGTCCTGGCATCTGTACTGAGAAATAAAGGCTACAACTTGGATTTGTCCGAGCCGGCTGCCTCAAACCTGGAAACAGCACAAGGCTTCCTACAGCACCGTCCGCGAGAGCACCACTGGATAGCATACCGATACTGCGCGGGAGCGATTTGGCGTTTAGATTCTTTGAAGGAGCATCCTGAACAAATCACGGCTGAACAGCTGACGACAGAGCTGTCTGAGAATCGCACCTTCGCGATCCATGCCTTTGCTCCTGGGTGATTGATCTGTAGAATTAGGAAGATTAGCTAGGATTGATAGGTTTTTCAGCCTCCCGAACGGGATGTGCTCCTTACTGCCCTGCCGCGGATTATGCCTCCAAAGGAGGTCTTCGTGGCCGTTGCAGTGTTATGGTGCTTACCTCACCAGCATCTCTGAGCCGGCGTTTGTGCCGAAAAATAAATCAAGTGGAAAAGGATTGTGAGCGGAAGGTGTGAGCGGGGTCTTCTCGTGCCTTGCACCATCGTACAAAATTCCCGCACATGCATGCGGGAGCACCCAGGTCAGTACCGGCCTGCTGCTGGGAAGGCGCACGCCGCGATCGACTGGCGAAGGACCGTGGCGACCGAAACAGGAATGCCGTATATTATGCATGCACGACGCGGGGCGGCACTAGCGGGAGGTTTTGGTGTACGTATATGTGTCGAGTCGATTGCAAAAAAATATTATATATATACATATATATATATATAAATTGATTTCTTATATATAGCTGTATCTTCATAATCTTAATTCGAAGGATCTGCACCCATTTAAGATAAGAAAAAAAAATTATCGAGAAGCATATAATTTCAAATATATATTATATTTATGATTATAAGAATACTATAAAAACAAATTATAATATTAAATACGAATATAAAAATATAAATAAAAAATATAATATAAAGAAATTGAATAGAATAGTTATAAATATCGAATTTGTATATATATATATATAAATATAAAAATTGTTATATATATATATACTTTGGGCAATTTAGGACGAAATTGATTTCATATTTCGAAATAGGATCTATATATAGAATTGAAATTTAAAAAAAATCGATGCTAGTTCTTTAATTGATTAATCTCATCTTCTCTTCTTTTAATAATTTTATGATAGCGGATATTATTATTTTCGATTTGGGTTTTAGAAATCGCTAAGATCTTCTTTCTCTTATTATTGATATCGCCGAACTAAATTTAAGTATTTATAGGTTATTATACGATTAGGGATGGTTCTATAATTCTTGATGTCGAAAAAATATATATATATATATATAATTCTTATAAAAAGCGATTTAAATTGTATATATATTCAAAAAAGGATTATATAAAAAAAAATCTATTTTATAAAGAAGGATAAATATTAAAATAATTTTTAGGTATTGGATTGGTATAAAATAAATAATTTCTGGATTTAATTTTTAGATTATTTTTTGATTAATTTTCTTAATATGAATAAAAATAGGATCACGGATTTAGGATATACGGGCCCGATTTTGGAAATAATGAACTTAATTTTTTAGGAATCGTATTTGCGATTTTTCTTATTTGGTTCTATAGATGCGAAAGGTGGATCCAAGCTCATTCAAGATAATTGATTATATAATTGATTTTGAGATTGGGGTCAAACTTATAAATAGGATCGAAACTTTTAAGAAAAATACATCTAATGATGGATGTTGCTTCTTCTCGACATTCCTCAATAATTGATTTTATCGATTAGATATTCGCCCGAATTATAATTTTAAAATAAAATAAATATAATTTTTATTGGAAATCCTCCCTAGCCTAAATTAATATTATAAAACTAATATAAGATATAAGATCTTTATAAAGAAGGACTGGGATTTATTGGATCGCTTGGATCCTGATTCGAAGCCCGCATAGACAAGATTTGATCCCAATAGATCTTATTATATCTGATTTAAGTCTCACCATAGAGAAGAGCTCGAAGCCCGAATCTTATTTTATTGAGCTAAATCCAATCGTCTGCAGGACGCCATAGCACAGGATTTGTTCCACAATTCCATTTCTGAATATGCATATATAAAATATTTCACGATAAGAAAAATATTTGAAAGAGCCCTGGTAAATCTTTAATAATAATATATATCGAGATATAGGCAAGCTTCATAAAGATCCAATATTAATTATTTTCCGACTTCAATATAGATTAATTCTATAATATTATTATAAGAAATTAAGACGTTTATATACGCTTCTATTGAGGGAAGGATCTAATTTTCAATAATATAGGACCATCTCATTTCATCTCAAGATTTTTATTAATTTAGAAAGATCAATAATTCTATAATTATAGGATATTGGATTGGCTAGCAAAATAACTGATTTCTAGATTCATGTCCTCGGTCCTTTTCTGGGAAGTTTTCTTAAAGCTAGTAGTGGCAAGATCACGAATTCAGGGGTCGTGCCACGGGCCCGATTTTAGAGTCAGCGAAACTATATTATTAGGAATCGTAATTTCGGTCCCAATATTTGGATTATTTGTCGGGCTACTTTGAATTCTTATCTTTGCGACCAGGTTTGTTTCGTATATTGGAGGTCCGGATTCAGAATCGCTCTATGGGTCAATTTATG